AAAAAAAAAAAAAAAAAAAAATTTAAAAGAATGTAAAATAGTGCAGCCGCTTTGGAAAACAATTTGGTAGCTCCTCAAAATGTTAAACATAGTTACCCTTATGACAGATCTAGCAATACCTAAGAAAAAGGAAAACATAAATCCACATTAAAAACTTGTATGAGGTCCAGGCACAGTGGCTCACACCTGTAATCCCAACACTTTGGGAGGCCCTGGAGGGAGGATCACTTGAGCCCAGGAGTTCAAGACCAGTCTGGGCAACATAGAGAGACCCAGTGTCTACAAAAAATTTTAAAAATAAGCTGGATGTGGTGATGCAGGTCTGGAGTCCCAACTATTCTAGAGGCTGAGGTGGGAGGATCGCTGGAGCCCAGGAGGTTGAAGCTGCAGTAAACTGTGACTGTGCCACGGCCCTCCAGCTTGGATCACAGGGACCCTGTCTCAAAACAAACAAACAAAAAACCCCAAAAGAGACCAACAGTTGGGTCTCACTCTGTGGCCCAGACCGGAGTGCAGTGGCACAATCACAGCTCACTGAAGATTCAAACTCCTGGCCTCAAGTGATCTTCCTGCCTTGGCCTTGAAATAAGCTTGGATTACAGATGAGCCATCACACCCAGCCAGACCATTATTCCTAATAGCCAAAATGTTGGAAACAATGCAAACAGCCATCAATTGACAAGTGGGTAAATAGAAAGGTGGTTGATCCATACAATGGAGTATTATTCAGCAATAAAAAGAAGTCCTGATACATGCTACAAGGATGAACCCGGAAAACATTATGCTAAGTGAAAGAAGCCAATCACAAAAGGCTACATATTACAAGATTCCATTTAAATGAAATATTCAGAATAGGTAAATCTAACTTTTATCACAGGCAAAGCTGCAACAGGAAATCGATGAGGTTGCCCGGTGCTTGGGGGTGAGGGGGGGTGGTGAGGGTAGTGAGTACTGCTAATCGGAACAGAGTTAATTTGCGGATAAAGAAAATGTTCTGAAATTGACTCTGGTGATGGTTACACTACTCCAAATATACTAAAACCGTTAAATCATATACTTTAAATGGGTGATCTGTAAGGCATGGAAATTATATCTTAAAGCTGTTTTACATATTTTTCATATTTAAACGTGCAGGTGGAGGGATGAGCCCTCAAAAGGGAAGCAGGAGTTTTGGGAGGTGATAGAAAGGTTCTAAATACTTTCTGGTGGGTAATGAGGCATGTAATTTGTCAGACCTCATCAAAATGTGTGATGTAAACAAATCTTCAAGTTGCTTTTAAAGAAATGCCACCAGCAGCAGGTGGGGAAGGCTGGAAGAAGTTACACAAGGGGTAGGCCAGGCATGGTGGCTCATGTCTATAATCCCAGCACTGTGGAGGCCGAGGCGGGTGGGTCACTTGAGGTCAGGAGTTCGAGACCAGCCTGGCCAACACGTTGAAAGGCTGTCTCTACTGAAAATACAAAAATCAGCCACGCATGCTCACTTGAACCCAGGAGAAGGTTGCAGTGAGCCGAGATCATACCAAAGCACTCCAGCCCGGGCAACAGAGAAAGACTTTGTCTCAAAATAAAAAGAAGTTACATAGGGGCAGTGTCAGGTATCAAGGGCAGGCAGGTTCTCGCCTATCTCCAGGATAAACTCAGAGGGGACTTAGATATCATGTGGGTCCCTAATAGCCCTCCACTTGGTTCTTGCAGCCATCCTGGTATGTGTATCATTTCATCTCAGGCCTCTTATTCCCAACCCACCCAGCTATCCCAGGCTGGCTGCCAACCCCACCTCCTCCAGCCCCTATCACCCCAAAATTGGGGCCAGGAGGCATGGGCGAGTCACCATCTCTCGGTGCCACCTACTGCTTCTTTACAGATAACGCTGGCTGGATGGGGCAGATCCTGGGGTAGAGCAGCTGCCGTTTAGAGCAGTGATCAAGACCTCCCCAGCTCCACCCCCAAGGAATCGGTTTTCTTCCGTAGCCCACATCAGGTACTGTGCAGCAAGGAGTTGAAATGAGAAGCCAGGAGGAACCAGAAGGACACTAACATTTATTAAGCACTGTAGATTCTCACAGCACTCCCATGGAATTGATACTATTATTATTCCCATTCTGAAGACTAGGCAACTGAAGCTCCATGTTTAAGGAATTCACTGAAGTCACCAACTGATAAAAGTGGTGGAAGCTGAGATTCAAATGCAAGCTAGCCTTCCTTCCGAGCTTACTCCACAACAGAAGTTGGGAAAAGGGGATAAAAAGAGAGGAGGAGAGCCAAATTCCACTTCCACCCAGCTCCTTAAGTGCAGCTTGTCAGCACAGCTCTCTCCTTCCCAGAATAGGAAGATACCCATCAAATACAAGTCCCAGACACCAGCTGGGCTAACTCCCTGCCCCAAGGCAGCTTCAGACAGCTTGTGGCTGTAGTTATGGCTCCCAAAGAGTGTTAGAATTCCTACTCCCAGTTTCCAAGCCACTCACACAAGGTGATTGAAGTGGAAACCAGAGATCTTCCAAAATGCCATCCTAAAGGAAATAAGGCTATTTAACTTTGTGCAAATGAGTAATTTGAAAACCTGGGGGCTCCCAGGTCCTGAAAAGGGAAGCGTGTGGGGCCCTTTGCATTCATACTCCACTTCGTGCCACTCTCCCTTGCCTTATGGCAGCCCTATTAAGAAATTCCTCTCCCAGCTAGGTGCAGCACTTCTTCTTCCAAGAGCTCTAGGCCTGACGCTCTCAGAGGCTTAGGACTCTGCCTATTAGTCCCAGGGTCTGGATGCCCAGCAGGACACCTCGCATTCAGTGACCACTGGATTGGATAAATAAGGTAGAGTGGGCAGAGTGCCACCCATTCTCCTCCTGAAATTTGAAGAGGTCGAAAAGTGAGGCTGTCCGACTGCCAACCCTGCTTTCTGGTCCACCTGGCCACCTGATATTCTCGGGCTTTCACCTATCTTTGCCATCCCTCCCCCTAGCCCATGCCGCCCATTTTCAGGCATACCTGGGCACATGTTGGAATAGAAGCCCTCATTCTTCAGCATGATCAGCAGGGAGCCCCAGCCCAGGAGTACAGCAGAGAAGAAGAGGTTCTCCAGCACCGCCGTGCAGGCCATCCACCAGCGCCTCCGGTACGCCTGCTGCAGCGTGGGGGCCATGCTGGCCGAGAGCCTGCACAGAAACAGAGCGCTGGGCGAAGGGCCCCCCAGTGGCCCCTGGGAGGGGTCCTGCATCATGGTGGCACCAGAGACCCCTCAGGCCAACCCGCAAGAGGACTCTCATGGAGCCCCCATAGAGCTCTGGGCTTCCCCAGCCGGTGCCACAGAGCTGGCTCTGCGCGCACTAGCAGTGCCAGGGGTGCACGCGGCACAGGGTTCCCGCTGCGCCACTATCGGAAACAAGGAAGGTCCTGTACGCGCGCTGCAGCTTCCTGGCGCGCTGCCGGGTTCTCCCACCCAGGCCAGAGCGCGCAGGGCAGAGCTGCTGGGGGGCAAGTCCGCATTCGCCCAGGTCTCCAGGGAACAGCAAGGGGCAGAGCGCGCTCTGAAGCACCGCTGGCCCATTCCCGGACTCTCGCGCCAGGAAAGACCCCTAAAAGCTGGCAGGAGGAGGAAGGGCAAGTTCAAGGCTAGCCTACCGCCCCACCTTCCAGTTGCCCCTCCAAGACCTCTCCTCCCCTCTGGGGCCGGGCGGCAGCAAGCTCTCCCCGTTTCCACATCAGGCGACCTACGACCCTACAGTCTCTCGGGCCAAACCAACAGCTGCCACGTGGAGGAAGACCCAGAACTGGCTCTCACCGGTCGCCTCCACCCCCGCGTGCCCCTCACTCACTCCGCAGGGTACGGGACACCAGGCTTTGTACCTCGGAACCCGCCTACCACCTCCGGCCCCAGGAGGGGGCTCGGACTTCAGCAGGAAGTCTGGTGGCTGCTGACTTTATAAGGGCAGTGGTGGCGGATGGGCTGGCGGGCGGGTGTGTTTACTAGAGGGAGGGAAGGAGCCCCAGCTCCCCCCGCTGCAGCCTAGTGGGGAGGAGAGGGAACGCGGGCGGCGCGGGGGCAGGGAGCGACAACCGGGGTGAGACCGAGGAAGGCGGAGAGGAGGAGGGCAGGGAAGACCCAGGGCGAGGGGAGGAAGCACGAGTCACTACTTCCAGGGGGCCTCGGTATCCTCATCTGTGAAATGGGGCTTTGGTTCAGGTGCTCGCAGAGATCGCTGGAACTCTGGCAAAAGTGCAGCTCTAACCAGAGGAAGTGCAGCGAGCCGGGCCCGGGAGGAAGAGAAGAGTCGGAGGGGACGGAGAAAAGAAGGAAGGACAATGCTTGGCGAGACGGGACCCTGTGCCGAAGGACCTCGGGCGCAAGTACCGGGCTTTCCTGGGGAAGCCTGGGGGTGTTGGCGGGAGCCAGCCTCGGTGGCTTTCAGCCGATGCACTGCCGGGGACCCTCCGCGCCCCACCTCCCCTCCCACGCTGCTCACCTCCGGTAGGGGGCAAAGGAGTAGCCAGCAGCAGCGGACGCCTTGGGAAGCGCAATGCTTTTGCGGTGCGTCCGGAGTCCCGCGGGCCCTGCCCTGAGCCGCGCCCACGCTGGGGTCTTCGCTCGCGTGCGGGACCCGGCGGCCACGGAGCTTCAGCCTGACAGCCCGGTGGCCTCGCCTCCGCTGTCCCCTCGGAAGAAGAGGGGGAACTGGGAACCCGCCGGGCGCCAGAGGTCTGCGAGGCTGGGCTTGGATGAAGTGGATCTGCGAGGTTGATAGTTGTATTTATTCGCCTTCCGAGCTGCGCCCCGAGGTGGGGGCGGGGGCTCCCTCCCCTTCCCCTCCCCTTAGGTCGAGTTTCACGCGCACGTGACTCGCCGGCTGGTCCCGGACACTCTCCGACTGGCACAGCCCCAGCACCTACATTTCCACCCTAGACCCCCATCTTCTCCCCCAAGCCCCCAGACTAATGTCAGGCAGCGCCCTCTGTATTCTTGGTCAAAACAAAGTGCGACTGGGCTTCAGCCGACCAACAATGATTCAGGGCCGGCTTGGGTGGGGTTTTGAACTGTGCAGTTGGGAGCAGTGTTTTCCGAGAGGCAGAATGACATGGGTTTCTCTGGAGTTAGTCAGATCGAGGTCTGAGTCTTGACTTTTCAACTGACTACCCTGGGTTACCTAGAACAAGTTACCTCTCCAAGTCTCATCTTCCTCCTCCCTAAATTCGGGTAAAATGGAACCTACCTAACTGCCCAAAGGAATCAGGATTGTGATGCTGAGCATAGTATTTGGCACAGTAAGCATAATGTTCATTGTTGCTGTTGTCATTATTTCAGACACCTGGCGATCGGATGCTTCCAGATCAATAATTGATTGATTCCAGGTAAATCTCTCAGCCTCCCTGAGCCTCAGTCTCCTCATTGTAAAATAGACTACTATGGTGTGGAGTAATGAGAAGTAAACTCATTACATGTGAGTTTAATCATGTGTTAAGAATGATACTGCTTATGTATGCTGGGCTTAATACCAAGGTTATGGGTAGATAGGTGCAATAAACCATCATGGTACACATTTACCTATGTAACAAACCTGCACATCCTGCACGTGTACCCCAGAACTTAAAATAAATTTAAAAAAAAGAGTGATACTTGTGGTCAGGCATGGTGGCTCATGCCTGTAATCCCAGCACTTTGGGAGGCCAAGGCAGGAGGATCATTTGAGCTCAGGAGTTTAAGATCAACTTGGACAACGTGGTGAAATCTCATTTCTACAAAAATTAGCCAGGCATGATGACGTGCACCTGCAGTCTCAGCTACCGGGCAGACTGAGGTGGAAGGATCACTTGAGCTGGAGAGATGGAGGCTGCAGTGAGCCAAGATCATGCCACTGCACTCCAGCCTGGGTGACAGAGAGAGACTGTCTCCAAAACAAAACAAGGGTGACTACAGAAATCTCCAAGAAGACCTCAGATAAAAGGGAACAGATGAGCCACCAAGCCAAGAGAGGAACTAATGGCTACTATACACTGGGCACTTTCCAAAATAAAAATATTGTTACCAATTCCTCAAGACACCATGGTCTCACTTAAACCCATCACTTTCACAGAGGGAAAAAACTGTAGGCTTGCAGCTGGAGCAAGGCTAGAGGTAGGATGCAGAGTCAGGTCAGCCTGGCATTTAAGTACTGCCCTTCCCATTCCTCCCGGAGGGAGAACAGCAAGAGCAAAGGCTTAACAGGGGGAAAGGCACAAGGAGTTCTCGCTGACCAAGGTACATGTCAGGCTCTGATGGTTTAATGTTTTAAAATGCAATACTGGCTCCCAAAACTTCCAGATCAAGGCCAAACTCCTCAGCTCAGCACAGGAGGCCCTAGAGTGAACTTTCTAAGCTAGGAGTGTCATGGATCCCTTTGAGAATACAAAAGACAGCGGGTGCAGTGGCTCATGCCTGTAATCCCAACACTTTGGGAGGCTGAGGCGGGAGGATCACTTAAGCACATGAGTTCGAAACCAGCCTGGTCAACATAGTGAGACCCCTATTTCTATAAAAAATTAAACTGGCATGGTGGCATGTGCCTGTAGTCCCAGCTACTGGGGAGGCTGAGGTAGGATGATCCCCTGAGCCCGGAAAGTAGAGGCTGCATGAGCCGAGATCTTGCCACTGCACTCCAGCTGGGTGACAGAGGCCCTGTCTCAAAATAAACAGAAAAAGAATAAAGAAGTTATTAATCAACTCTCTGTGAAAATGCTTGTGTGACCATGGACACACACACTCATTGACATTCACATTTTAGGGTTTTCATGGACCCTTCCAATGAGACTCTAGTGGTCCGTGGACACCCATGGCTGGAACACTCACTCTTCCTCATCCCAACCCACATTTCCATGGGGTTGGACTGTCTGCCACATGAGGACACGGGCCTCATTTGGTATGTTCATTCACTGCTGTGTATCCCAGCACCCAGAACAGCACCCAGCACCTAAGGGGCACTCAGCACATGCACAATGAAGAGTCAGCCAGCTCTTTTCACAACTCCCAGTCTTTGCACCTGCTATTCCTTCTTGTGAAAATGACAGATTTCCTTCATTTTTTTTTTTTTTGAGACAGATTATAGCTGTTGCCCAGGTTGAAGTGCAATGGCACAATCTCAGCTTATTGCAACCTCTGCCTCCCAGGTTCAAGCAATTCTCATGCCTCAGCCTTCCAAGTAGCTAGGATTACAGGCATGCACTATCACACCCAGCTAATTTTTGTATTATTTTTATCTTCTTTAGTAGAGATGGGGTTTCACCATGTTGGCCGGGCTGGTCTTGAACTCCTGGCCTCACGTGATCCGCTCACCTTGGAAGCTCAAAGTGTTGGGATTGTAGGTGTGAGCCACTGTGCCCAGACTCTTTCTTCATTTCTAATGTATTCATCTTTCACAACTCAGCTCAAGTTTCACTTCTCACTGGAAGCTCTACCCTAGGCTGGATTCAGGGCCTCGTCCACATACCCATCCCTAAACACTCTGCTGACCTCTATGGAGGCCCCCACAGTGATCTAAAATAATCAGCCTAGTTTTCTGCCCCCACATCTCTTGGGGACAGGAACCACCACGTGGTAGGTGATTTGTGTGCCTGCTGCCTATCATGGGGCCTGGCACCTAATAAGCTTGCAGCCAACATTTGTTGAATAAATGAAAAGACAGTGGTGGAAAATGAAGCTGAAAAGGTAGGCTAGGGTCAGTTTGGAATGACCTTGGGAGGCCAAGGACTTTCAATCTTGTGAGGTAGGTAACAGGAAATGCCTGGATTTTTTTTTTTTTTTTTTTTTTTTTTTTTTTTTTTTTTTTTTTTTTTTTGGGGGGGATGGAGTCTTGCTCTGTCCCCTGGCTGGAGTTCAGGGGCACAATCTCGGCTCACTGCAACCTCCACATCCCTGGTTCAAGTGATTCTTCTGCCTCAGCCTCCAGAGTAGCTGGGACTACAGGCACGCGCCACCATGCCCAGCTAACTTTTGTATTTTTAGTAGAGATGGGGTTTCACCACGTTGGCCAGGATAGTCTCGATCTCTTGATCTCATGATCCACCTGCCTTGGCCTCCCAAAGTGCTGGGATTACAGGCATGAGCCACCACGCCAGGCCGGATTTTGTTTTCTTTTGGTTTTGTTTGTTTTTAATGAAGGTGAGAGTTATTGTCAGGTTTTTGTGTTTAATGAATGGAAGATATGGAAAGGACAGAGACCTTAAAGCAATTAGGAGGTCACTATAATAGCTCACATTTTGCAGCCATAAAAAGGAATGAGGCCAGGTGCGGTGGCTCACACCTGTAATCCCACCACTTTGGGAGGCCAAGGCAGGCAGATCATCTGAGGTCGGGAGTTTGAGACCAGCCTGACCAACATGGAGAAACTCCGTCTCCACTAAAAATACAAAATTAGCTGGATGTGGTGGCACATGCCTGTAATCCCACCTACTTGGGAGGCTGAGGCAGGAAAATCACTTGAACCTGGGAGGTGGAGGTTGTGGTGAGCCAAGATTACGCCATTGCACTCCAACCTGGGCAATAAGAGCGAAACTGTCACAAAAAAAAAACAGGAATAAGATCATATTCTTTTCAGGGACATGGATGAAGCTGGAAGCCATCATCTTCAGCAAATCAACACAGGAACAGAAAACCAAACACCGCATGTTCTTGCTCATAAGTGGGAGTTAAACATCAAGAACACATGGACACAGACAGGGGAACAACACACAAACCAGGGTCTACTGGGGGTGGAGGTGAGGGGAGGGAACTCAGAGGACGGGTCAATAGGTGTAGCAAACGACCATGGCACATGTACACCTACGCGACAAACCTGCATGTTCTGCACATGTATCCTGTTTTTTTGTTTTTTTAGAAATAAAGAAAAAATGAAGAAGAAGAAGAAACAGACAAAAATAGTTCACATTTAAAATAATAAAAAATAGGCCGGGCATGGTGGCTCAGGTCTATCATCCCAACATTTCAGGAGGCCAACTCAGGCAGATCTCTTGAGCCCAGGAATTCAAGACCAGCCTGGGCAACATGGCAAAACCCTCTCTCTACAAAAAATATAAAACAAGCAAAAAAATTAGCCAGGAGTGGTGGCGCATGCCCGTAGTCCCACCTACTCAGGAGGCTGAGGTGAGAGAATCGCTTGAGCCTGGGAGGCAGAGGTTACAGTGAGCTGAGATCGTGCCACTGCCCTCCACCTGAGGCAACAGAGCAAGACTTTGTCTCTAAATAAATAAAATAAAATAATAAAAAACAGAGAAAAGGAAAAAAATCTAAGACATAACTTCCATATCTGAATCAATAGGATTTATCAACCTTCTCCCCTGGCCCCAAAACTAATTCCTCCCTAAACGCTGTTCTCCTGACACCACTCATAGGTTGAGTATAACAGCATGATCACATTGGCTGTCATGTGGGCTCCTGGCTGGAGGCTGCTTCAGAGCTCAGTGGACAAGGACACCAAGACAGGCTGGGTCTAAATCCTGGCTCTGCAGCTACTTGTGCAATTTTATGTCTATAAAACTTTGTGAATATGCAACGTACTTAATTGTATACTTTATTTACTTTTTTGAGACAAGGTCTCACTCTGTCACCCAGGCTGGAGTGCAGCGGCACGATCTCAGCTCACTGCAACCTCTACCTCCCAGGCTCAAGCAACCCTCCTGCCTCAACCTCCCGAGTACCTGGGACTACAGGCATGTGCTACCACACCCGGCTGATTTTTGTGTTTTTGGTAGAGAGAGAGAGTTTCACTATGTTGCCCAGGCTAGTTTTGAACTCCTGGACTCAAGTGCTCCACCAGCCTCAG